TCGCAGTTGGTAGCCAGACATTATAAGTTGATACTGTCGACGTACGTACTTTTTATCAGTAGGTCTGCTTACCTTGTCTAGGGAACTTGTTATCAGTAGATGTGCTCTTACTGAGTTAGGCAGGTCGCCCGTTTCGGTCAGGCTGTTGGGTTTAGTGAGGGTTAGGGATGGGCGTAGGTTAAGTTTTAGGATTTGGCTTTGCTTTTTAGGATCAGATTTCAGTGCTAGGGGTAGGGTTTAGGTTCCCGTTAGAGTTACGGTTAAGGTTAAAGTTAGGTTTAGGCTTGAGGTTAGAGTCAAGGTTGGGTTTAGGGTTATGGCTAGGTTTTGGGTTAATGTTGGGTTTTAGGATTTTTGTTACGCCTCGGCTTTGAGGCCTAGGGTTGGGCTTTGCGGTTGCGGTCGGGGTCGGATTTTAGGGTTAAGGGTAGGGTTTAAATCTCTGCCATTATTCCACCTACTTAAAATATCCCAACACTTTCCTTGGCAATTTTACTTTTTCCCAGAAACTCCAGCATTCCTCTACCAGCCTTTCCATTTACCCCACCCATACAACCCCCTTTCCCACCATTCTCGTACGACAGGGACCTGGCTGTTCACCACCCCATTCTTGGCTACCAACTGCGATCTTACACGTCAGCCAACCAGCCATCGCTATGCCACTATCTGTGAGGCTCTGGAGTTGACCTGCAAGTCAAAATGCCATGTCTTGCGTGCGGGCAACATCGTCGAGGAACAACATTTCTAAGTAACGAAAGAAAGCCGGAATTTATGAACACTGCCGACGTCTGCATGTCATTGATTTGGTTCAACACGAGGACAGAGTCTTTACGCGGCTGTGTTTGTTACGGAGAAGTGTTGAAGCAAAGTAATTGCGTAGAGTACGTTACCTTCCCAAACACTTTACCTTTTGAGCAGTCACAACTTTGCAACGAACAAGGACATAAAGAACGGTTGTCTAGTTGTTATCTCCCTATTTCATCGTGAGCTGTGCCTGAAAATACGGCGTTGAGATGTTCTCTGAATGCCAAACGTGACGTCGTTTGATGTTGACTAAAGTGCGTCCGTATGCCGAATCCCTAACTTCGGTCTGTTCCGAAAGAATTAATTCAAGTTCTCGCATTAATTCCCTCGGAGATTAAATAAAGCAAGTTGAAACTGGAATTCATATACCAGAAAACACACGGGAAAGCTGTGAGGACCCACTGACGAGCCGAACCCCTCGCAGCTGCGTCAGGCAGCGGCACAAGATCGGCGAAACACGCGTCTGGGCTTTTAGCTAATGCCTATGTTGTCAGTACGATAAATAATTACATAATTCTATGCTACTGACTGACTGCTGGCGGTTTGTGAATAGTACGCGGTTATTCCGCAGTAGCTAATGAACTTCAGCTCAAATATTCATATCAAACTCCGGACCGTGCCTGAAAAGGTCCGTTCCGAAACATTTACTCCAAGTTCGCGCATTAATTTCCTCGGAAATTAAACAAGGCACGCTGCAAGATCTAAACGGCCATGAGTTCAGTGACCAAAGGACCCACGGGCATAACCCATTGTGACTTCATAGTCTGAGAGAAAACGACTTGAGGTCGAGAGAATGGTCTTACACTCCCTTCCTATGCTTGTTTTTCTCATGAAGGTCATTGGGAGTCCGAAGATAGTCCCGGTTGAAATTACATCTTATACTATTCTCTCAAGCAAAATTAATGAAATTGACCAGAGAAAACCTTTATCGTGGTGCTTTCCTGACAACCAAGAGGCGGCCTTAACTATTCATAAATGCGTTAATTAAAGGAAGTGTTGAACAAGGGGTGGAGATGAAGGGACTTACGGTACATTTTGCGGTTGTTGCACATGAATTTGACGCCAGCCAAACCAAAGGCAGAGTACACGGATGCGGACATATTTATAGTCAGCATATCTGAAAAGAAAACGAGGAGGAGAATAAAAAAACCTACTTCGGGCCACCAGAACACACCAAAGCAACAGGGTTCGTGTAACCCCTCTAGGGTGTCGAAACACATAAATCAAACCCCCGTCTCGGTCTTGATGGTGTCTCGCGGGCTAAAAACTACCAATATACACAGGAAAATCCGACGGCTACAAAGCGCTGAGAATGCTAATGTTTTAAGAAATCTTTCCAGCGAACTTTATTACTTTCGATGCATTTTTGTTAAGCCCGTTACATAAGCCTACTTAGCAGTTCACAGGTGAAATAGAGAAGTCTGAAAACTTTGAACCATTGTACATCGGCGGCGGGTGAGGGAAGATTTGACGACCGACCCCGGCGTGGTAAACCTGCTAACTCATCTGTCATGACAAAAAACCACTGGGCAGTGGTAATTTACGCTTAAATCAAAGAATGAGAGAGGTGCGCAACATCGGCCTCATTTCACCCTTCGTTTTTCAAGTGGTAAGACTAGGTCCTGACGGCGAATGAGCTCGGGCGCAGAGGCTGACCCAGCACTTGCTTACCTCCCACCACGCCCTTGCTAAAAGCGCACTAGTTCCCTAGAACAAAACGAAACCGTGTTGGGTCAGACAATACATAAGGAAGAATATCGGCCGCGTTATAGGCCTGACACCAGAGCCCATATTGAGAGGCACACTGTAAGTCAATATACTTAGCATGCCGTCTGCCGAGAGGAGAGAGACCTGACGCAAGGACAGCCCATTTTGGCTGGAAGAATCGTCATGACCCCAAATCACGATGGACACAGCCAGCAGGATGGTTTAAAAGTAACCATAGTGAAATAATTGCTAAAAAATGAGGACCCTACAAAACCGCGGTCTGTGGCGCCGGAGAGATGGGAGGAAAGTGCACATATCAAGGGGAACATACTTTTTCGCACAAACACCTCCAGGTCGTTGTGGTGGGCCAGGGGAATGATGTCCACAACGCCTAAAGTACAAGAGTCTCGAAAATAGCGGATAGTCAAGTTACCCCTGTGACAGAAGCCTGCAATGAAGTCATCGTCAACGAGAAAGGAGAGCGGCAGAAAGGGGATCAGGTAATTTTGCAACTGCAGCTCGGTAATTCCGTCACAAAGTTTTGCCTCCTCCAGCTGAGGACTAAGAACGATGAAAATCTAAAAGCGCAACATGAGCATTCTCCAAGCTACTAACCTTTGAGGCGAAATCCATCAGGCAGTGTCATGAAGACCGTGAGAGTGAGGAGGTTAAAGGACCGGGTCAAGCTCGGACAAACCGTGCTCCGTCCTTGGAGTACTTTGATTCTTAAAAAGGATATCGAATTAATTGGCGTCTTAGAGGATTTGAATGACTTAAAAGACTGCAAAAATTGTCACAACCGCGTAATCAAGAAGATATAGAATATCCATTTGATGAAAATTAGATATAAGGTCAGAAATGCTCTATACTAGGAAGGAGAGAATGATCAGAGGGGCAGTATAGTCACGAAAAAAGACAATAGTTAGTGGCCGAACTGGCTAGTACATCTCATGGCTAACTGCGACATAGCAAACAAGATAAAAATGCTCAGAGCGCGTAGGTTAAGGCCATAAAAAACAATCTAGGGATCGGATCTAAAATGGCGTGAAAAATGCGTTATTTAAGGAGCCCTAGGTGATGCGCGCGTTGTGACCCACAAAAACGCAATGGCTATTTACGCCTTGCTGCAAATTTCTTGTGGATGCGTCTACGTATAGCTGGAACCCGACCTGTTGGGTGTCATTTTACAGACGCACACACCTTAAAACCGTCCGAGAATGACAAACGTGAAGGTCTTTGCTGCAAAGCCAGTGAGGTCCGTACCGTGATAGTTCGCGGACTTTGTCTTATATCCTTGAAGACAAGCGCGGGGATGGAGTGAGTTCGTTTCCTCAAACACTGCTCAATCACACAGAGGCTGAGAGCCAGAGTCGGCGCAAGACTTACTTCGCATTATTGAGAATACGGTCCTCTCCGGACGCCTTGTTGTTGCGCAGCTGCAAAATTGCATCGTCTATTTCCCTCTGAGCAAAGGGTTATGTGACACTGCAGAGGCTGGAGAACAAAATCCCGTTGAAAGGGAAAGGAGGTAGAGGGTTGGTCACCGAAGTGGAGGTGCTCGACGTGTGCACAACGCTCGGTCTTGGTCGAGTTGTCAATAATAATGTCGTCACACATCATAAACAGTCACTTAGTACATATGGTACACCCCTAACTTGGCGAATAAGTTTGCTGATTCCCGAGTGTCATTGACGTTTAAGGCCTGCTCCAGGTAGGTGACTATTTCAGATCAATAATTCTTGCGGTAATCTACTGCCGACCTTGCCGTCATTTTTCGGGGTTCGCAGACGAACTGATCACAGCGGGACCTAGCTCGAACCGTGTGATCATACAATCGTAGGTTATAAAGCTGCGCCAGTAACTGTGGGACCACTAGGAGAATCTGAGAATGCTTGCAGCTGCCTCGAAGACTGAGGGCGTCAGTGATGGCGACTTGTTCTTCTCTTCTTTTTCAACTCGGGACGCAAAGCAAGAACGGATTTTCTTGTCTAGAGTTTAGGCAGTGTTGATTTTCCGTACTTCTACAGCACCGAGGCGTCCTGCAAGTGACAATTTAGGCGCTGATGAGGTTGACTTGCAAACGTGTGCGGACGAGACCAAGGCCTAAATCACACGATCGCCGTCCGAATACCAGGGCAGATTATGTTTGTGGCGGGGCTCGGAACTTGTTGGTGACTAGTCAGTCCTGACCAGCGAAGACTACCGTTTCTTAACCATTGTCGCATCGAGAGCGAGGGCCAGATCAGCGAATAAGGTGATTGCTTAAATGATTGCAGGGTCTAGTCCGGTCATTTAAATCCCAGAAACAATCTGCAGAGCATGGTGAGGGAGGCTTTAAATCAATTCTCGCAACTGCGAGTAAGTTTCTTCATAGCGCTGGTCGGCAGATGGTGTTGGTGAGCATATGCTAGACAGAAATACAGGTCACTGACTGGTCCTCACACAATGCGCGACTCCCTGTTACAAGAGAGCGATAGCAACGGCGTGTCTACCAGAAGAGTTGCGGGTGGCGCTGTGGCACAGGATGACGAGATTTGGCCCTCAGGATTTTAATTCCCCGTGAGCCTGGAATTCGACCTTAAGACAGGCTACAGATATCGAGTGCGTACGCTATTAGCCTGCACTACCGGACCATGGCTGCTGATCGCGTCGGTTTTGGTGGACGCTGTAGCACGGATCATAATACTCAAACCAGACATGTTTTCATGACTTTCCTTACGAGTTTTGAGTACAGGCGTCCCCAACAGCTTCTACGGCTGTTTGTCTGAGATCACCTCATTTGGTGTTTTGGTTCAAGAACCTAACCACAGGGAAGCGATCGCAAGAAATCAATTTGATGGCGATTCACGGTCGCCATGTTACAGTTTTCGCGTCAGAGAGCCGTCCAGCGCGCTCTGGCAGCACAGTCCTTGCTGGTACGTAAATGCCTACTCGCCAGACAAAAGCCTACTGATTTTGTAGCTGTCACTCACTGAAGGCCTTCCCACTGTCCCAGTTGCAGGGGCTTGGCTGCCAGCAGCTGGACTAACGGATGAACTTGTCTGCATGCTCCGAAATGTTGGCTGACGATAATCCACCCGTCATCTTTTGCCGAAAATACATTTTTTGGCAGAGTCCTATGAAAAAGCATATATACCTCATCTGTGTATGCCCGAGTTGCAGGGTAAGATCTTAGAAAATACCTTTTGGTAGTTAAGACACACAAACCGCAAAAAAGCGGAAGAACGCATTTTAGAGATGAATCTGAGAAGGCCAAAAATCGTAATAACACCAGATGCCAGACGACATGTGCAACGGGATGGTCAAAAGTTCGAATACAAAGGTGTACAATTAGCTAGGGCTGGAGTCAATAGAACATACGAAGATGCACTCACACACAATTTCCGATACACGCGCCCCACGAAACCGAAGACTTTCTTCTTAGGGCATTTAAACAAAGACGGGCTTGTTCCAGACTGTGTAGATAGATGGTGAATACTGAAACCTTCGGCAGCCTCTCATCTGATTAGAATTGAAAACGTTAAAACATATATATGGGTTGGAGTCCAAATGGGACATTGTTTTGTCACAAGGAACTGTTAGTCAGAAATCTCTTGCATTTGGTAATTTGGCGTATTCATACGCAGGTGAAATACCGACGAAACAGTGAATATACTAATTTCCAAAATAACTAGATCGCCATGGAGTCCTTTCGATGAGGCATCCCTCATTCTTACTAAAAACTACAGTCCACGAACAGCAGTATCTCTCCAATGAGTACCAACAATTATGGTAGTCAAGTTAATAAGTGTATGCTGCATTGTTGTGGAGCGAGGGATGAAAAAGGAAACGTCGCGACTCCCTGGAGAAAAAAGGTCATTTCAAGTGCACAAAATGTTTTGCGACAAAACTACTCCAGCTTAACAGATGCGTTTTGTTGGATGGGGCGTTAGTTCCATGTACTAAAACAGCACTGCAGAACCGACGTTACCTGTACGAGCTTCAAAAAGATCCTTGAGATGGAGGATGCTAAAATAAATGGAAATACATGGATATGTGGAGGAGGCTTCTTACATGCCTCTAGCAGTTCCTTTGCATGAACAGAAAAAGTAGATCAAAACTTTCGATGTGGTCGGATTTACTCAGGGTCCAGTTCTGGAACCCCAATGGATTACGTCCTATGTCACTGATCACATGGGGTGACGGAGCTCAGTTTGCGTCCTGTTCACGTCCAATATCTAAATGCAACAATCGATCGAGGGTCATAGCCACAAAGGAGTTCTTCAGGAAGACACCGACTGCCTGTGAAAATGATTTGGCAGAAGACAGAGGGGTGAGTTTGGCTGCAGATCGAATCAAGGAAGTCAGGGTCCAATTGCAACCATTACCCATAATTCCTTTACGAAAGATTTCTGTAAAATGCTGATGAACGAAAAGGCACGCGGTGTCCGAAGAGCAAGGAAATGTGGATAGTCAATCTAAGGGTCCAGCAAAAACTTCGCTTTCGTAATGAACACGAGGTCAAGGCGATTTGAGTTTTACCATTTTTAGCGTCTGCTCCGGATGACTCATTATGATATCTTCTTTACTACCACTTCCGGTAATTAGTAGCCATGTATTGGGAGTGCCATCACTTCTAAAAACAAGAGGCAACCAATCACTGGAGAACACGTGCGTTTGCTCTCTCTACAGAGCTGTCATTTTAATCGTGGCGCCTCTTCACTGGCTATTCCCGTCTTCCCGAAGGGCATCTGGCCGAATGCCGGAGAAACACAGTAGGGTGTTATAAGTATGCGTCATATTTCGGCTAGCCGCGACTTGCAGCGCCTTTCTAATACACTATCCGTGGCTGACCGCGTTTTCTTTGTCTGGGGACGAGGGTCGAGTGTGAATAAGTTACACGGGATTTCAAGTACCAGGACGGGTCATAATACCACATGTGGATGGAGGGCTCCGCAGAGCTCACTAGGGCGGTCAATACTGGGGGCGCAAAAGCCTCCAGCAATAGGAATGATCATTTTCTAGCAGATTTCTATTGTTCGGTAAAGGGCAGATCATCGCGCCTAGCAATCTGGCAAAGGGTATTTACGCGGCCGCCAACCCTATTGACTGGCGGCACTTGTCGGAATAGTTGTAGACGTCAAATCTACTTCCAGTATTGACGGTATAATTTGGCGACCGATGGCTCTGATGGGACCCCGACGGGCCTTTAATAAAAAATTATTATTATTATTATTATTCGGACAAAGAGCCCGTGGCATTAAACAGAATCCCTGATGCGGTCGTATTTTCCGAAACAGTTGAGTACCTTAAATGCAGTGTAGACGCTCGTCTTCAGAGAAATTAGTGTACATACAATCACGATTTTGTTCGTGGCGGCAGTTTGCGCCTGGCGCGCACTTATCATTAACATTTGAATTTACAGAATTACAGATTAAACAATTGATTCTATTGCTGTCAAAAGATATAAATAGAGGGCTCAGGGGCAAAAGTATGATGCCCTTTAAAAACTGAATTAAACAGACGGATATAATAAAAGCTGTGCCTCTCAGACGATAGAGCATTTGAAGTTCATCTCCCCCATAGCGACGATTTTCGCGGTTCTTGACGTCACCTCCCGCATTTCGACCTCATGCGGTCTGTCGATGCTCACG